GCCGTTCACTCCTCCGTTCACTCCTGCCCGTTCCCACCTCGGTGTGCCCCCTCCCCTCCACCACCTCGGGGGCCAGGTACTCGGGGTTGCCGCACAAAGTGAAAGCGCGGCCCTCATTACGTCGAGCAAACCTGGGGGGGGGAGGCAGGGGGGAAGGGGGATACGTGATGGTGGTGATGATGGTGGTGGTGATGATGGTAATGATGATGGTGATGGTGGTAATGATGATGATGATGAGTTAAGAAGGGAAAACAACCGGCAGACCGTCAGAAGTAGCGGGGGAGGCAGGGGGGGGAGGAAAGAGGCTCCGTTGGGGGTATGGTATGCGAAAATGGGGGTTGGGGGAAACGCGGGGAATAAAACACACGTGACGCCGCCGACCACCCTGACACATGACAAGGGAGGTGAGGATGCGTGCGTGTGAGCTTGCGGCCGCTCGTTTTGAACACGGAGGCAGAGGGAGAGGGAAGGGAAAAAGTGGCAGCGCACGTGTGTCTGTATGTCTGTCTCTCTGTCTCTCTGTTTGTCTGTATGTATGTATGTGTGTGCGTTTGCATGTACGCGCGTGTATTTGGCAGGACCGCTATCATCACCATCCCAGTTGTAAGACCTCCCCCCCCTGCCCCAACCCACCATCCGTCCATCTCACCTATCTTCCTTCCCCTCCCCAAAATACACCCCCTCACATCCACCCCCTCCCCCTCCCCCTCCCCCTCCCCCTCCCCCCTCCTCTTTCCCCCCCCCTCACCGGAAGTCCACCAGCTGCACCTGGCCCCCCTCCGTCACCACCACAGAGTGCACCGACAGCCCCCGGTAGATCACCCCCGACCAGTGCAGGTGCTCCAAACCCAGTACGACACTGGCGGCGATGTACATGGCGGAGGCCTCGTCGAAGGGCAGCGGCACCATGAGGCAGTCCAGAGTGCACAGCCCCACAGTCATGAGAACCTGCATTGCGTGTATGTACGTATGTACGTATGTATGTACTTCAGTGCATTGTATGTACGTGCGGGTGCCACCCCCTACCTCACACACACATACACTCCTCCCCCGTTGCAACGGTATACTGATAACCCACTCAACAACCCAACCAGATCGCTACACACGGAGAGAAAAACAAAACACTCAAGATAATATTCCCACTGCCGCCTCCCCCCCCATACACACACACTGTCGCCCC